CACTTACCTCAGAGACACATTTTACTCAGACACACACACTTAACCCAGAGACACACTTAACTCACACTTAATTCATAAAGACACACTCACACCAGAATGATTTATATCCTTAGTACTTCACTCATCTTCACGCGTCTAATGGCTTACTATACAGTCTAAACAATTAAATATATATATATATATGTCTCATCTGTAATTAAATGTAAGGCATAGTGATTTAATTATGTTTATATTTTGATTACAGGGCGAATTTTTCATACGTTGATTGTGTGTCTGTTTATATACGGGACTTTTATTGTGAGTTGCTGTTGTTGTTTGTTTATACACGAAACTCCTGTTGAAAGTTACCATTGGAAACCTTTTATTCATATATTCTGTATGTCTGTTGAGTATTACCGTTTATCTCTTAAGGTCCTACTGTTGAGAATTTCTGTTAGCTAACCGTTTGCTTTATACATAATGACTTTCCGCTGGTAATTAAATCCTAAATATTGTGTATTTTTTAAACCTTTTCTCGTATTACTTAACCTAATGAAACCTAAACACAGATACTTATTTTTTTTTTTTGGGGGGGTGGGGGGTGAGGGTCATTTAGCTGTTCAAATTACCAGGGTCATTAGGGAATTAAAAGCACTGAACACACTCGTCTTAGTATATCTTACAAGGGAGACATTTTTTTTTTTTTAACAAACCTTTTAAAAAAATTCTCCTGATAAGTTTATTAGTGTTCAGAGCATGTTGGTGGTAATAATAGCACAGTCTGTTTATAGCATTCCCGCTTGTTGATCTAACTAAACCCTGGTGCTTGGCTGCGTGTTGCTTATTTGATTGTCACGTGTTTTTATAGAGTTTATGGAAGGGTTTTTGTGTTTATTTGGTTTTTCTAGAGTTTATAGTATTAGGTTCCTGCGTTTTATTTGTCACTTGTTTTTATAGAGTTTATGGAAGGGTTTTTGTGTTTATTTGGTTTTTCCAGAGTTTATAGTATTAGGTTCCTGCGTTTTATTTGTCACTTGTTTTTATAGAGTTTATGGAAGGGTTTTTGTGTTTATTTGGTTTTTCTAGAGTTTATAGTATTAGGTTCCTGCGTTTTATTTGATTGTCACTTGTTTTCCCAGCGTTTAAATAAAGTCTCTGTTGTATTTGATTTTCACTTGCTTTTAAAGAGTTTAGAATCAGGTTGCCACGTTTATTTGATCGTCACTTGTTTTTATAGAGTTTATAATCATTAGGTTGCCACGTTTTTTTTATTGTCACTTGTTTTCACAGTTTAAAATTATCAGATTACTTCATTTACTCGATTCTCACTTGTTTTCATAGAGTTTATAATCAGGTTCCTGCGTTTATTTCTTTATTGCCGAGAGAAACTTAGTTAAGTATACACAATGAGGTCAACAAGTTTTCACAGGACTTTAAATGTAAATAATAGATAATTCAGTAGATAAAATGCAGTTTAGTAATATTCTTTCATATATTGTTCCTGATATTAAAATAACACGTAAGAAATTTGCAAAATATACAAAGATATGAAATACAACGAATGATTTTACTGTTTATATTAAGTCAATTTATATTGTCTTAGTTTATATTAAGTCTAAGTTTATATAACTGACCAAAAATCGTAGAAATTGAAGATGTTTATTAAGTGCCCCTCCTCCCCCCCCCCCCACAAAAAAAAATGCTGAAAAATACTGACAAATATCAATAATGGCAAAAGAATGGAATCTGCCTAAAACGTGCTATTCGTTGGTTGTTCATAACCCGAGTACTAGTGATATTGCACCCGTAAGATCGAGTACTAGTGATATTGCACCCGTAAGATCGAGTGCTAGTGATATTGCACCCGTAAGGTCGAGTACTAGTGATATTGCACCCGTAAGATCGAGTACTAGTGATATTGCACCCGTAAAGTCGAGTACTAGTGATATTAAAAATTCGTAAAGTCGAGTACTAGTGATATTGCAACTCCGTAAAGTCGAGTACTAGTGATATTGCACCCGTAAAGTCGAGTACTAGTGATATTAAATTCAAAGTCGAGCACTAGTGATATTGCAATTCGTAAAGTCGAGTACTAGGTGATATTGCACCCGTAAGATCGAGTACGTGATATTAAAAATCTGCAAGATCGAGTACTAGTGATATTGCACCTGCAAAGTCGAGTACCAGTGATATTGCACCCGTAAAGTCGAGTACCAGTGATATTGAATCTGCAAGATCGAGTGCTAGTGATATTGGCAATCTGCAAGATCGAGTACTCAGTGATATTGCACCTGCAAGATCGAGTGTTGTGTGATATTGCACCCGTAAGATCGAGTACTAGCATTAAACGCAAGATCGAGTACTAGTGACATTGTAAATTCGCAAGATCGAGTAATTAGTGATATTGCAATCGGTAAGATCGAGTGCTAGTGATATTGCAATCTGCAAGATCGAGTGCTAGTGATATTAAAAACCCGTAAGATCGAGTACTCAGTGATATTGCACCCTGCAAGATCGAGAATAGTGATATTGCACCCGGTAAGGTCGAGTACTAGTATATTGTAACGTAAGATCGAGTACTAGTGATATTGCACCCAAGATCGAGTACCAGGATATTGTGAATCTGCAAGATCGAGTGCCAGTGATATTGCACCCCGTAAGATCGAGTGCTAGTGATATTGCACCCGGTGAAGGTCGAGTACTGGTGACATTGAAATTGGGTAAGATCGAGTACTAGTGATATTGAAAATCTGCAAGATCGAGTGCTAGTGATATTGCGTTCGTAAGATCGAGTACCAGTGATATTGCACCCGTAAGATCGAGTACTCAGTGATATTGCACCCGTAAAGATCGAGTACTAGTGATATTGCACCCGTAAGATCGAGTACTAGTGATATTGTACCCGTAAGATCGAGTACTAGTGATATTGCACCCGTAAGGTCGAGTACTAGTGATATTGCACCCGTAAGATCGAGTACTAGTGATATTGCACCCGTAAGATCGAGTACTAGTGATATTGCACCCGTAAGGTCGAGTACTAGTGATATTGTACCCGTAAGATCGAGTACTAGTGATATTGCACCCGTAAGATCGAGTACTAGTGATATTGCACCCGTAAGATCGAGTACTAGTGATATTGTACCCGTAAGATCGAGTACTAGTGATATTGCACCCGTAAGATCGAGTACTAGTGATATTGCACCCGTAAGATCGAGTACTAGTGATATTGCACCCGTGATATTGCATGGATCGAGTACTGAGCACCCGTAAGAGTACTAGTGCACCCGTAAGATCGAGTACTATTGCCCGTAAGATCGAGCTAGTGATATTGCACCGTAAGATCGAGGTACTAAAGTGATATTGCCCGTAAGATCGAGTGCTAGTGATATTGCACCCGTAAAGTCGAGTACTAGTGATATTGCACCCGTAAAGTCGAGTACTAGTGATATTGCACCCGTAAGATCGAGTACTAGTGATATTGTACCCGTAAAGTCGAGTAATAGTGATATTGTATCCATGAGGTCGAGTACTAGTGATGTACCGTATTTTACCCTTAACCTCGATATATCAAACACCAACACAGTTTATATTAAAAAAAAGAAAATGTTTATTGAATGATAGTAGAAGGAAAGGGGGAAGATAAAGGTAACATTTGATAATAAGCAGAAGTGGGGAAAGAAAGAGGAAGAAAGAGTAAAGTGAGTTAAAGAGTAAAAAATCAACAGTAAGAATAAAATAATAGAGAACAGAGTTGGTTTATAAAAGTGCAATAAATGTAATGTGGTGTAGAAGCAGTTACTAATAGCGAAATAAAAGCAAGGGGAAAGAAAATAGGGATAATTGTTGAAGAGATGCAGCGAGTATAGAGCTGAAGTAACAAACAAAAGCGTAAAAGAATGAAAATCACCAATAAAAGCAAAGAAATAAAGAAGAACTGTTGCTAATAAATCTCGAAATAAATGTGAAGTGATGTAGAAACGACTAATAAAACCGCAATAAAAGCAAAGGGAGAAACAAGTGAAGAGCACTGGCGCCATGTCGTCCCGAGCAACACAAACACGCAGTGGAATGTGTCATTTTTTTTTTCCAAGCAGTATAAACAACGACGTGTCTAAGAGCTCCCGCCTCATGCCGATAAGAAATAGTCAACTTAATTCAAAGTTTAATTGAAGTTTTACGAATCAGGAACGTTCATTTTTTAATCGACATATTAAGTCAGACACATTCATCTGTTGCATTTTGTATAGGAAAAAAAAAAACTTGGAATGTCGTGTTTTTCTTACCAGTGCAAATAACATGGACTAAAAGCTCCCGTCTCTTGCCGGTAAGAAATAGTTAAAGTTAGTCCCAAGTTTAATTCAACTTTACGTAGTAGTTAATTCGTATTGGTGTTTGAAGTTTAATCTCTGTCATAATTTGTGTGAAAATATGTTTTATTGATGTGACTCTCTGAAGTGGATTAGTCTAGACTCTCTCTCTCTCTCTCTCTCTCTCTCTCTCTCTCTCTCTCTCTCTCTCTCACAAATAAGTTAAAAAATAGAAAATCTCATAGCCAATACTATATTACTACTACTTCTATCAATAAAATAAAAATCGTAATAATTCCCAAATAATGATTGGAACTCAATTGGTGAATTCAGAATATACAGAAAACCTCCTTATACTTGACCTGGGTTAGACAGTTCTGCGTCTCATGCACTGGTGGAGCTGCCTTCACCTTGTCACTGGTGGAGAAGAATACCAGGTACCTGCATGTACTAGGAAGATGTGAGGTAATTAACGACGTGTCATCATCACTCAGGTCTTATATGGAGACTAACTATTCAGGTATTTCTTGGATATTGAGTCTTATAATTAAATAATGAGAGGAGTTCCATTTAATTCATTGATGGACGAGTGTAATTAGTTATCATGCCATGGGCTTAATGACCATAATTGTTGAATAGGTGTATTACGTTATAGCATTAACACACACACACACACACACATACACACACACACTAACCAATACACCATTCCAGACAACAGAACTTTCGAGGACCCACGTGTTTGTGCCTACGACCTACTCACTTCTCCATGACCTCGGGCAATGACCAGGCGATGTTGAGAGCCTCGTTCTACCCAGACCTGAAGGACCTGGGACCTGTGGGTAGTGTGATGATGACCTGTGACACGCCCATGAAGAAATACTGTCAGCAGCTGTCAGATGAGGGCATACACAGGAGCCGATGTCCAATTCTTTCCAGTAGTGGTGTAAATATGTGTGGTTGATGAGGTGGTGTGGTTGATGAGGTGGTGTGGTTGATGAGGTGGTGTGGTTGATGAGGTGGTGTGGTTGACGAGGTGGTGTGTTGATGGGGTGGTGTGGTTGATAGGGTGTTGTGGTTGATGAGGTGGTGTGGTTGATAGAGTGGTGTGGTTGATGAGGTAGTGTGGTTGATGAGGTGTTGTGGTTGATGAGGTGGTGTGGTTGATAGGGTGGTGTGGTTGATAGGATTGTGTGGTTGATGAGGTGGTGTGGTTGATAGGGGTGGTGTGGCTGATTAGGTGGTGTGGTCTGTCCAAACATTTGAAAAAGTCCTCCGTGAATAAATGTCAGGAGTAAAGCTTTCTCTCAGCCCTGGTGTTCCCTTTGCTACATAGCTTACGTTAGGTTAGGTTAAGCTTTACCTTAGATTAGGCTATTTAATCAGGTTAAATAAGCTGGGGTGTCTAATCTTAAGGTGATACTCTAAATGAAACCGTAAAAGGAGTTCTTGATTCGTAATTTAAAAGTCTAAATCCCTGTGTATGTCTGTCTGATTTGTGTACACGGTGGCTTGACGTGAGAGGTCGTGGCTTGTTGTGGGGAGTCGTGGCTTGTGAGAGGTCGTGGATTGTGAGTCGCGGCTTGTTGTGAGGGTTCGTGGTTTGAAGTGAGGGGATGTGGCTTAGAGTGAGAGATCGTGGCTTGTTCAGGGGGAGTCGTGGTTCGTAATGAGGGGTCGTGGCTTGTTGTAAGGTGTCTTGGCTTGGTGTGAGGAGTCGCGTAGCCTCAACAGTAACACAGTACACTTTGCTATATATAATTAGGTATAAATGACACTTGGTTTTCAGTACACATACCATGAATTATAGACGATATTTTAGATACACTTCTTACACCACCAGAAAGAAGAATTTTCCCTGTAATTTTTATGTTTAGTTTCTCTTAACTCTGTACTCTCTCATATCTGTTTGAACATCTTCACTACCCAAACATATATGATTAGTTTATGGTACAGTCTCCTCCAGGTGTGGTGTTACCCTTCTACAGTGCCTCCGTCGTTCATGTGGCACCGTCTGTTTCTCATAGTACGTGTTATTTGGTCAGTGTTTGTATACATGTATTAATTACTACCAGTCTTGTAACTCGTATTGGTTATCTGAAGTCTTGTCTGTTTTGTTAAATTTATCTATTTGGTATATTAAACATTTATGGTTTTATTGTTAAGAAATTAATATAAAATAAATAATGGTTGGATGCAATATTTATTACAATAAACCTTTTTCTCATTAATAAAATGAATTTGTTTGAAACTGATAAATGTAATGACACAAGACAAAAATGAATCTCTGTTATACTTTAGTTAAGTGTCACAGTACTAATCATGTTACCAGTGGAAGGAGCGTCATGTGTGGATCGGGTGGGTAGGTGGGTGAGGAGGGAGGGGGGTTGAACAAGCCAGGTACTAAGTCAGTACTTTTTCCACCCACCATTCTTAGCAATTACCTCTTGCAGTCTGTCTGGGAGAGAGGCTACAGTATTATACAGAATTTTTTTGCCGATTTCTGTGTAAACGTCCCCACTCATCCTTCGTGTGTTGGAAGAGTGACTGTGGTGTTGGTTCCTCGTCTGTCACCCTTTGCTCAACCACTCCACAAGTTGTGTGTCTGGCCCCCAAAATTCACATCCCTTAAAACACCTTTTTTTTCGGTATATGCGTTCGGAAAACAGTTTTTTGAGGGATGAATTTTTTTTTGCCTAAATTTCAAAACCATCAACCGACTGTTCTCTGGGCGCATTTCCAGGAAATACTATGTTTTTTTGGGTGCCTTGGTGAGTGTGAGAAAAAAAATTAACATTAACTTCAGCTATGTTTATTGGTGCAGTTTATTTCTGGCTGTGGGTGCAGCTTACAGCATTGCGAGACTAGTACTAACAGGTCTGGCCTGCAGGCAAGATAATTAATATAGAAAACACTACGTAAAGTCCTGCTGAACCAGTCACCACTTTTTATTCTCTTATTTTAACTAGACGAATCGAGCCTAAACTAACGAACTAAGCGTCGATAATATACGGTATTATTTCTTCACGCCGAGTGGTAGACTTATACACTACACTGTGGGCTGTAAAATAACCCTAGGCAAGACGGGTCACCTGAAGATTAGACACTCCCAGTTTATTTCACCTTAAGATTAACCATCCTAACCTAACCTAACTTAACTTGACCTAACCTATCCTGGCCTAACATATAATAACATAATATAAAAGAACATAACCAAATATAATCTAATTTGACCTAATCTAACTAAATCTAACCTAACCTGACCTGACCTAACCTGACCTAACCAAACCAAACCAGAACCTAACCTAATCCAACTAGCTTTAGGATGTTTAATTATCAAGTGAAATAACCTGGGATGGCAAACCTTCAGGTGATACCAACAAGAACGAGGAGTTGAACCCTACCTGACTACCTGCCTGCATTCTTCCTCGGGCGTGGCCACCTGCACTGTTTGATAAGTGGGTTAGTAAATGGGTTTGCATTACGTTAGGTTTGGTTAGGTTTACGTTAGGTTTTGGTTTGGTTGGGTTAGGTTTTGGTTAAGGTAGGTAAGGTTTTGATTAGGTTGGGTTGGGTTAGGTTTTGGTTAAGGTAGGTTAGGTTTTGATTAGGTTGGGTTGGGTTAGGTTTTGTCAGATTTGGTTAGGTTTTGGTTAGGTTAGGTTAGGTTAGGTTTATAATATTATGGATCACTTGTGTTTGCTAGATTTTGTTTTATATTCAAGAAAAAAGCAAAAGCCAGTGTACGAACTTTTATGAAATCTCTTTTGTTTTGTTAAGTGAGACAATTTAGAATCGTTCGCATTTATCTAATTACCAGATGAAATATTACATACACGTACTAACCTTTATAAATCTATCTTATGGTATCATTGCTTGAGTCAACCATCTAACTGGATTTGTTCTTCATCTCCACATACGGACGAAAAATACATATTATATTTTTCTGAGAATATATATCCTGGTGTCGTAGCTTAAGTGAGCCATGCAATGAGTTTCGTTCTTAATATCCACTTATGGGATTAAAGAATAATAATGAAAAAAAAAAGAAAAAAGATAAGCTTATGACCCTTGGGAAATCCGGACCCCAAACCATTCATTTGCTTAAGCTAACACTATTCATCAACAGTATCTCCGCACCGCCCTGAGCCATTGAAAAATATGGCTTCAGAACCTGGTTTGAGCCGTACCAAGTTGGCGCGGGAACACAACTCGGTTTTGGTCATGATAGCCATCTTCTGGGAGTGTTGGAACCTGTGGGCGGTGACGCACAGGCTGGATACTTGTACCCAAAACTCGTCAGGGGGTGAGCAAGTCTCTAGAAATGGGGAGGGAGTAGCCTTGATTTAGAAGTTTAGAAATGGTAGTCAAGATTCAGAACTAGAGGAGGGTACTATGTATCTAGGTAAAGGGCGGGGTAGCCTTGATTTACAAATGAATGGAATACCTTATATACATTTTGAAACGAAAGGGATATCAAAGGTTTAGAAATGGGAGAACTAAATTAGGCATAGAATAGACGAGGCAACCTGGATTTAGAAATACGAGAGGTCGCTTAAACATGTAAAGACTAACCTAGATTATTACGTCGAGCTTAAACACCTTTAGTTATCAAAGCACACACATACAGACGAAAAAAAACGCTTGATAATAACTAAAGTATATTAATTGCAACGCCTAATGAAGAAATGAATGACATACGTTAAGTCAGGCCATAGTCTACATAAAAAAGGGATAGTGGGCCTAATAAACCCACTGTGTAGTAAGCCTTCAGTACACAAGGAGACAACTTGGCCGACACTGCACTCGACCTTCTTCAATTCCTAAACATAATCATGAAGACAGATTAAGTTTTTGAAATTATGTGCCGATAGAATCATAATTTTATCCCTAATTTACAGAAAAATATTAATATTTACTGAAAAATCCCACGATAATCAACTTTTATAAGCAAACTTAACTAAAGCAACACACATTACACGAACATAATTATTATAACTGAATATTTGCGGATACAATAACAGCAATAATGAGATTATAACCTAATTATACACAATGTAATATCATCCTTCTAATTATAAAGTGTAGAATCTAAACCCATGACAACGATGCTACAAAACTCGCTAGTAGTTGACTCATATAATCGTATTAAAACAACAATTATAGTCACTCATACTTTATGACGCGTAGTTCAACATTGCCGAAATTTACTTGTTTTAATATTTTAACTAAACTCATTGTGACTTTAGCTTTATTAAATGACATATAAGTTAAAGAGTTTGATAGACGTTCGAAACCTGTGTATTAAAGTTCGATCCTAAAGGTGATTTAACATTGTTATTTGGAGGTTTGTCACAGTTCGTACACATCTAATGAGTTATATACCAAGGGTGGAATGTTTATCATAATATAGATAATTAACAAGAGTCAAGCTGATGTTTACCATGAATTAAGCTGATTTGTATGTTTACCAAGACTTAAGCTGATGTTTCTATGTTTACCAAGAATTAAGCTGATTTTTATGTTTACCAAGGCTTAAGCTGATGTTTCTATGTTTACTAAGACTAAGCTGAAGTTTCTGTGTTTATCAAGCTTAAACTTATGTTTTCTACGTTATCTGAAACTAGGATATACACGTAATCTGATTGGCTCGAGGTAACATACTGTATAACCTGATTGACACTAGACTGGCACCACTGATTGACACTAGACTGGCACCACTGATTGACACTAGACTGGCACCAGTTTATTTCACCTGAAGACTAACCACCCTCACGCTAATCTAACCTGGGGTGTTTTATCTTCAGCTAATCCATTCAAGGCTCTAACGTATATATTAACATTTAGTAACACGTAATCTCTACAGTAATTCATCTAATTTATTCTCTTACAAAGCAAAATTCTCAAGAAATATATTCGTATGGAATTGAAATATTTATAGGTGAAAATTTCCATATTATTATTTTTTTCATCATCATATTAAAGACTTTGTTCATAACCTTTGCTTAATCAGTAGAA